CTTGATCTTGTTTATGAATACACGTACTCTAATTGGACTCGCACTGCGGCACAAGACAATCCCCATAAATGAATGTTTGGAATTACAAGAGGGCATGTGACTCAGTGGTAAATGACAATTTGGTGGAGAGAGAATCAGACTTGTGCACACAGCTCGTGCTTGAAGCTTCAAGATAACCCGACACACACCAGGTGGCGCACCACCTACTCTCTTTGTCGCCTTTCTATGGAACGTGCTTCATCAGTTTTCTTACTCTCTTGCTTATGACCTTTATTTTCTAACTCAATCATATTGTTGTAAATACGAAATTGTATGAAAATGTTAAATGATAAACTAGCATAGATGCATACGTAACGTAACATAATGTGATAAGTTAACTCTTAATGTGTACTCACAATCACATGCCCGGGCCCAACGGAAGGGAAAACTCTTACATAAAGAAGGTGCACTTTTAGGTTTTCACATTACTAGTATGATCCGGAGAATGTCATGCATAATTTATGGCCATCTTTCTTTTTTAAAATTGTTGCCATTAGCTACCGCAGCAAGCACAAGATGTGAATTTCACTCTAGTTCTTCCCTCAAATAATCAATAACAAATTGTTAACCCTATAATAGTCGGGCACTTTACGCCAATACGTTATGGGAATGCTCTGTTTAGCATAAAATTTTGTGTTTAATCTTTGTTATGTTCAAAAATTCGTTGGCTCAATAACAGTCATAATACCAAGAAATGATCAAACTATTGTTAATGTTTTTGGATTTCACTTAAGAAATTTTATTCATAATTTGAGTGAAAACTTAAAAAAAAAAAAAAATGTCCAAATCATATGATATATGGGACATTACACGTGCTAACTCGTCAATTGCATCCGGTGGAATTTGAACTTATTAGGATATTCTACATGTTCATTGTATAATCGAAAGAGGGAATTGATTCAATCGAGATTCGTGATAACTTTTAGCAGAATTTGTTGAAATTGGACTCTGCAAATCATTAAAATATGAACTACTCGCTAGTACCTTACACTGTTACCTTATCTGCTGGAGGTTCGCTTTTTTCTTTTCTAGAGCCGTTAGGCAAGTTTGAATGCTTCCCTTCCATTGACATTTTTATAGCCGTTTTTACTGTGACCTAATTATTCAAGTCATAGTTTAGCCATGGAATGGAACTAATAAAGTTATATAAATCTGGTTTGTCGCTAAATAAGTTTGATGATATAATTTCTCTTTAGAATTTATGGTCTTCTAAATAAATAAATATATATATATATATATATATATATAGCAACTGAACTTAAATCACGGGCCGTAAGTAAAAATAAAGTTATCATTTGAAATTATTAGACCTCCATATATTTCTATCATTTGAGTTCAAAAATAATATCAGTATTAGAAATTATTATTTGAGGTAGTTTGAGAGAACTTGGTGAAACGTAAGGATGGTAATGGGTTATAAGACAGAAAATTGAGAGTATTTAAATGTGTTATATTATTTCCAAGTTAGATTTCACCACTCTCATTTGTTTGTAATGATGTGATTTGTTTATTTGTATATGCTTTTGATATATAAAAACGGGTTGTGGAATTCTAGCTGGTCTTTCTAGTTTTTGGCCTTTTGCCTCTTCAAGCATAAATAGCCTAAACAGAATAATTCAATTACGGACAAACTTGTATAAAAAGTGCACAAAAAGTCACAGAGAAATAACTACAACATTTTTTTAGTCATGAAACAATAAAAAGAAAAAAGTTTCTAAAAGTTAAAAATAATTAAATTTATAAAATTAATCATTAAAACATAAATAACAATTTTTCAAGCCTATTCTAAGTGACCGTTACCTTTTTCTACACGCAACAATTTTTCTACTTATGACCACACTATGATAAAAATAAAATTGCCTAAAGGATTACATTAAGCAACAGTTTTTAAAACCACCAATAACATATTTTAACTAAGAATCAGATCTATGTCATTACAAATAATTCATGCATTGTTAACTAAATTTGGTTACCTGTTATATATTTTAAGGACAATTTTTTAACCAATGACAAAAATAATTTATTTACTTAAGTAAAAGTACTGTAATGTGTAAAACACTAAAAATCCCCGAGCTATTGCTCTATTTTCTTTTGTTCTATTCGTTATGGAAACCATTTTAATCAACAGTTTTCATTAAAAAAAATTAACAATTAATTGTATAGAAAATAAGATCAATTAAAGAAATAAAATAATTTAATTTTTATAAAAATTCTAATATAAATTTTTGTAGATAGTTATAAATTTATAATTTCATTTTTGTAAATTAAAAGCACAAAATTATTTTATTCAGAAAGTTCACATAAATTAAAAAGTTAATCTAAATTGATCAAAAAGATATGTGCACTTTAGAAGGGTTATATTATTTATATAAATTATTTTTATAATATATTTTTTATCCCTTTTGATACAAAAATAATAATTTCTCATTTGAGAGTTTTAAAAACTGTGTCAATGGGATTATGTCATCCATCAATTGAAGACTTGTGTATACAAGTGTAAATAAGCATCCATGATGTCTTTCTTACATGATATGATGTCACAAGTTAACTTTATATGAATCCCTATTCACATGGTTTCAAGTTCCCGGGCCCGGTGGAGGACATATAGGGAAAATTCTTATATAAAAGAATGTGCACTTTTGGTCATGTATAATTTAGCTACTGCAGCACGCAGAAACATGCGAATTTCAGTTTACTTCTTCCCTCACCTAATAAATAATAACAAGCAGGTTTCTTAATTAGTATAATAAACTATTTAAATTATTATAGTAAGATTCAATTAACTAATTTATAATATAAAAATAATTAATTCAGTTAATAGTCTTATTTTTCTAATATTTTTGTTTCAACTTTTAGTGACTGTAATATAAAGAGGTAAAATACGGTTATCAGAGGAACCTAAAACTTTAATCAAAGAATATTTTTGTAAAAAACAAAAATTAATGCAGGTTATATTCAAAATTAGTTATTATAAACAAAACCAAACAAAATCTTCAATTTAGGTGATGTTTGTTAGCATATTTGGTTGTGAATAAAAAAAGATATAGGGATACGTGGATCCAGCAGAAGCAGATTGTATTAGGTTTTGCATCAATTTTGTGAACTGACATGAAAACTTGACAAAACGTGAGTTGGGGAATATTATAACATAAATGTTGTTTTAAGGTAATATTACTATTTTCCTATAAACAAACAATAATTGAAAGTAACTTCTAAAAACTTGTAATAAAAATTAAAGAAAAATACATGTTCAAGTTTATATTTTAAATAATAATTTTAAGCCATAAAATAAACAATTATTATAAAATAGAATAAGAGGGGATACACTAAGAATTTTCAGAGTCATAATTTGAGTGAAAAAAGAAAAGGAAAAAACTTTTGTCCAAATCATGATATATGGCACACAAAATCGACAATTGCATCCGGTGGATTAAACTGGATTAGGATATTATGCATTTTCATTGTCTAAATTAAAGAGGGAATTGAGTCAATCGAGATTCATAGTTACTTACTTTTACTCTTTTAGCAGTATTTGTTGAAAATGGACTCTGCAATTCATTAAAATTGCAAACAGAAACTATGTCGTTACTTTCCACTGTTACCTTACCTAATGGGAGTTGGCTTTTTCTTTTCTAGAGCTGTTAGGCACGTTTGAAAGCTTCCATTCCCATTGTCGGTTTAACCCTAATTTTTATTTATAAATGTAAAATTATGAGTTTTTTAAAAATGAAATTAACAAAGATATATAAAGCTGGTTAGTCGTTAAATAAGTTTGTATTAGAAATTATTATTCAAGTTAGGAGATTGAGAGACTTTAAATGTTGGTATATTATTTCCAAATTACATTTCACCATTCTTATTTGTAATGTGATTTATTTCTCTTGCTTTCCTCTCATTTGTTAATTTGTACATAATGAGTCACAGCATTTTTATCCATGAAAATACTGTGTTGTATGTAAAAAGTCTCCAAGCAATTGTTTTTGTTCTATTCGTTATGGAAATGATTTTTCATTTATAAATTTCAGCAACACTGCATGTGATGTCCACTTAGTTTTTATCTTACAGAAACCCTACTCACTTCTTTTCTTGACGAGAAAGGCTGCAAGTTGTAAATTTAGGTCCCACCCGTCCAAATATAGCTAAATATACTAAATGGTAGGTACACTGCCCTATAATTATAAGAGCTACTATTTAACTTCACGGGCAATTAGAGGATACTCACTCCATTTCCACGAAGGAGATGTCTCACCCTTACGCTACATAATACATTTGGTCGATAGAGAAATGGATGCAGTGAAAGTGGGTATATGAGAAAGGAAAAAAAGAAGAAAAACACAAAAGTTGTTTTCTAACAATTTATCAGAAAATCAACCTTTTTTAAAAATAATAGTTTTTAATGATTATAAGACAATCAGTAGACTCTTTTTAATATCTAAAAAATAACCACTATCTTTTGTATCATAATCATTTTATGATCTTAAACAAAAAAAAACTATATTTTTTTAACATAATCAATTATAAGATTATTTGAATACAAGTTAAAAAATATTTTTAAAAACTTTTTTATTAAAAATAACGAGCTTTTTTTAATATAAAAATCGTTAAAAACACTCACAAACTTCAATCCATATTCTGTATGATAAATAAGTCTGAATTAAAAAAAACAACGTAGTCAGTAATTGATTTAATTGCAATAATTGCGCCTCTCTGTAACCCTCTTGTTCTCTTCACATCAATTTCTCTTCACCAAACCACATGCAGTGTTAGTGTGGTTAAATAATATAATCAAGGACGGGGTTAAACAATAAAGGAATCTACCCTGAAAAAGGCTTGTTTAATTTTTCATTGCTCAGACATGTTTTGTTTCATTTAAATTTTCTTTTTCAAGAGACGTGAGTGTCGATAATAGCAGTTAATATTTCTTTCGCATAAACCTTCTAAACGACTGACACACTAGAATGTAGAGGAAGAAAAGATCCCTTAAACTATTGGCTTAAAATGCAACGAAACCTGAAGAAACAATACCCCTTCAGGAATCAGGAGTCTACTGCAAAGTGAAAGCTTAGATACAATTTACTCTAGTCCCAAAGTTAATTTGATTTAGCTACCCCTACCCCATTCATTACCAGTTCCCACCAACTGGATGAAAAGTCAACATTATTTAACTAAAACATAATCAAGAACCCCCAAAAAATCTTCAAACTAAAAGAAATAATAATAACCAACAAGTAATGTAGCTCCCCTTCCTAGTCTCACACTAGCACAAACACCACCACCTTTACACAAAGCAAAATCAGCCAGATGCAGTATATTCTCATGCGGGAATATGTCATCAGCTTTTTAGTATCCAGTAGGAAATTCGCAGTTACCGTACCCTGCACAAAAATAACGGGTTAATTACAATCATCAATGCATAATTTTAATTTTAATTTAAACACAAATAAAGTAGAATTATAAAAATATAGACAAAAAGGCAGGCATAGGCCATAACCTAACATTTCTGAGTAGAAGTAGAATCCAATGTGATTACACTCCCCAATGGCCCAATGTTTGACTAATTGACCGTCTTTATGGGTACAATTATTCATCTGATTTACCCGTCCCTTCGGGAACAGGGTTCACCAAATAGTGCTAAATTAAAAGACCAACACTCTGCTCAATAAAGTTATGCCACGTCGTTATCACAAAAGATTCCCCCTTGTCAACCCTATCACGTGCCTCTTTTATGTCCACTGACCTGTCGTGAACCAGAACCAGTCCTTACCCCGCTCACGTTAGCAACTCAACGTACCTCTATTCTAAACTACTCACAATCAGAACCTAATAAAATAAAATAAAATAAGGGATTTATAGAATACTCACTAGGCTCCTGCGTGACCACGTACGACGTGCCCCCGAAGTAGCAGCTACCACCCTTGCGCGCTTGCTTCTGATAATAACTGTTGAACGCAAACGAAGCGTGGGCCACAACCGTGTTAGGATCATAACACGTGGCACCGCGCTGAATCGGACGGCAATCAGCCCCTCCCTCGCCGCAAGCGAAATCTAGAGCCGCCTGCAGCTTAACTTTATCCGCGTCCGGGTTCGCAACGCACCACGTGTTCCCGGTGGTGCTCTTGGAAACCCCGCCGCTGACAACGGGCGCCGGCGCGGGCTGCTTCTGTCCGCCGGCGCTGACCGGCGAGGGACGGTCGTGGTAGTCCTTGAGCTCCTCCACCGTCAAGGGGACATTGTAAACCCTTTTCTCGTCCGGGTAAAAAAGCCCAAAGTTCCTCTCGGAAGTGGGCCCGGGCTTCTGATTCTCATTAAAAAGCGCGAACAAATAGACGGTGAGATCCGCTTTGGGCCTGAGGGGGGTCCCGCCACCCGTCAAGATCTTACGGACGAGATTCCCGTTGAACGCAGCGGCGTTCTCCACGCTGGCGCCAACCTCGTTACTGTCCCCCTTGGAAGGCCACCCCGTTTCCGTGACGACAATCTTAACGTCGTCGTATTTCAAAGCACTCATCGCGGCGAAAACGGCGTCGATTTGGGCGTCGAACAGGTTATAGTAGCGCAACCCGTTACCCGGATCCACCACGCCCGGGTTGTCGCGGAAAAGTGCGTAGTCCAAGGAGATGACGTCAGCGTTGGACTCGTACGCGAAGAAGGGGTACACGTTTACCATGAGGTACGACCCCGTTCCGCGGAGAAACTCCAGCATGGGTTTGAAAACCGCTCCCACGAGTTCCTCTCGGAAGGACCCGGCTGAGGAAGGGTATGAACTTCCGAGCGCGCTTAGGGCAATGGGGGAGGAAACCTTAATGTCGGAGTCCAGGTTGTGTTTGACGAGCGCTTGGTGGATGTTCTTCATGGCCGGTACGAGGAACTTGGTGGTGTTGTGTGTGTCCACGAAAACCTCGTTGCCCACCGCAATGGCTTCGATTTGCGTGTGCGGGTAGTACGCTACGACGTTTCTTTGGATCCATGAGAGTGCAAAGGAGGGTGCTTTTGCTGCTGCGAACAGTTGCTCGTTTGGAAGATCAACCGTCACTTTTATTCCCGATCCTGATAATGCCCGAAGCACTGCCGGGTCCGTGTCGTACACTTTTACCCGCTTCAGCCCCTGCGATTTCAGAAGCTGCACCACCTTTACTGCAGAGGGAAGGTTGTTTGCTATGCGACCGTAGTTAACTCCAATGGAACCTCCATCTGAAACACACAACGTCAAATAGTACGGTTAACATTGTTCTGCAAAAATAAAACAAGAGAAAGAGAAGAATGGGAGCAATGCATTGCCTGTGAGAGTGAGAAGGGTGAGGGAGAGGAGAAGAGAGAAGAGGGTGACGCACTGCATTCTCTGCTTCTGTGCGGAGAAACAGAGAGCGGTGTGTTTGGGTGTTGTTGAGGATGTTTCTGGGAATGTGGGTTGTGGTGTGGTGTGATGTGTTTGTGTTTGTGATTATCTATGAGAGTTAGTGGGGCCCACTTGGTAACAAATGGACGAGTAATTATAGGACCACCATCCATCACTCATGGCCAGTTGGCCTGCCTCATGCTGCAGAGTGAAGATGGAGAACGGTGTTTGTTTGTTTCCGTTCCACGTTGGTCCCACCAAACACCACCTTAAATCTGGATTTCATTTGTTTTCATTATTATTATAATATTGAATTGGTTTTTTAATTATGCCTACTTTTTGTGGCGCATGAATTATGGTTCTCCATGGAGTGTGTTTTCTGATAGAGGAATAGCCAAACCAGTGTGCAGCGGGAATATAAGGGCAATTTAAGAATAAGGATCAAAAATGACTGGCACTTTGTTCATTACTGTATTAAAGTTCGCGAGCTCATAGGGTATCATGTTTTGGAGGAACTGCTATCATCGAACAATGATAAAGATAAAAAAACCAAGTGTTATTAATTTTATGTACTATGGTAACATTCAATTTTACATCATTGTCTTGCCAGATCTTCTCTGGCTCTTCTTTTTTTCTTTTTTTTTACCACTTTCTCAACAGTGTCTTGCAGTGAGTGTGGATGAGTGTATCATTGAAGCTAATCTTTGAAGCTAATTAATGGAGCCTCTGCAAATGAGGATCTAATGCGTAGCGTAGCACAATAGCACATTGTCCTTGGGGACACGAGGGCCTACTTCTTCACCAATTATTTTCCTTGTAAGGACCCCAATGGACATCATTAATGTCAATCCAAAATCACTAATGAAAATTTAATATCAAACCTCACTACATAAATTTTAAGAGCACTCTTTTAATTCTGTCTCTTTTTTTTTTTTCATTCATTTTAATTAGAAGAAATGAGGCACTTTCGCTCACTATTATTTTAAAAAGTAAGATAATAATAATAAATAATGAAATCAAAATTTGCATTTGATTTCAAAATATTAGAGTAGTTATAAATATTAATTAAGAAATGAGACATAAAAGATTTCGAAAAATGGTTCTAAAAAAAAAAGAGGGAAACGTACAAAAAAAAAACATATCTTATTTATTAATAGTTATAGTCTTATAAAATGTAAAGTAACTAGGGATGGCAAATATACCCGTATCCGCGGGTAATATCCGAACCCTTCCCGACTTTGACGGGGAATACCCGGTTTGACCGGGTACGGGTAAAACCCGATATATTAAATCGGGTACGGGTACGGGTATGTACTTACCCGCCCCGTACCTGTATCCGTAC